TTTTTAGGGTTAGGTTTAGTGTTAGGGTTAGGGTTATGGTTAGGTTTTGGATTAGGGTTAGTGTAAGTGTTAGGGTTAGGTTTAGGGTTAGGTTTAGGGTTAGGATTTAGTGTTAGGGTGAGGGTTAGGTTTAGGGTTAGGTTTAGGATTAGGTTTAGGGTTAGGGTTAATGTTAGGTTTAGGGTTAGGTTAGGGTTAGGTTTAGGGTTTTATGTTACTGTTAGTGTTAGGGTTAGGGTTAGGCTAAATTTTAGGTTTTCGTTTAGGATTACTCTTAGGGTTAGGTTTAGGTTTAAGGTTATATTAGGGTTACGGTTAGGGTTAGGGTTAGGGATAGGGTTAGTGTTAGGGTTTGTGTTAGTGTTAGGATTAGGATTAGGGTTAGGATAAGAGTTAGAGTTAGGGTTAGTATTAGGGTTAGGTTAAGGTTAGGGTTAGGGTTAGCGTTAGGGTTAGGGTTACGGTTTGGGTTAGGGTTAGGTTTAGTGTTAGTGTTAGGGTTATGTTATGGTTAGGGTTAGGGTTATGGTTAGGGTAAGGGTTAGGTTTAGGCTATGGTTTACATTTAGGGTTAGGGTTAGGGTTAGGGTTAGGGTTAGTGTTAGTTTTAGGGTTAGGGTTAGGGTTAGGGTTAGTGTTAGGTTTAGGGTTAGGGGTAGGGTTAGGGTTAGCGTGAGGGTTAGGATTAGGGTTGCTATAGTGTTACGGTTAGTGTTATGATACAGGGCCTAGATAGGAACAGGGGATGTAAGGGTTAATATGGGAATAGCAAGAAGGGGATGAGGATGGAAATAGTTGAGATAAGAGTTTGCCTAGCTTGTACGAGGTGTTTGTGTTGATGGACCACTATCTTCTGTTTAAGTAAAAAGCCTCCTCCACCCCTGAGAAGTGAAGATTACCCCACAACGGCACAAACCTGCTCTGCGGGTCCAGGGGATGACAGAGACTGCGCAGGAATTCGGGGTGAAAAGTTCAGCACTGAGGAAGAGGAGATACTTCCTCCCACGACCACCACCCAGTCCTTCACGACCCCTGCCCAGGACCAAAGGAACTCACTGCGCAGACTCAACTGGGAGGAGACCATGGAAATGCTAATTTTAATACGAAGCGGGGATAGGTGATGCATATGTATAGGCGTATTGCGAAATATTATGAATATGTAATCATTTGCTCTATAAATCTAAGGTAACGGTGCCACATGGTAGCACATATTTGGAGGAGTGATCCCCTGTGTGCCCAGCGCTGGATAAACATACCTACTTTACAATCTATCAGATTGTGGAGTCTGTTTTCCGCACGTCAGTAAAGTGAAAGTCACTGCATTTTGATTATCTTAAATAGGGCTTCAATAGTCCCTTGAGTGTCCCTGTGTCTGGTGGAAGTGCCATGTAGAATTGTACCTGCAGAGGAGTGCCAGACATCATGGAGCTGCTCACTGCAGAGCATTCCTGCCCAGCTGCTTCATTGTTTATTTCTTTTGGCACACCGGGGCCTTTTTGCTTGGACACCTGATGTCTTGTGGGTTGTTCTGTGTAGTGTTCTGGTCCCGTGGGCATGGCCAGCCCGAGTGGGAGCTGCTTTCCTTGCTGCGCCGCTGCTTTGGCAGCCCCGGGGCAGGGGGGGGACAAATGCTCCAGCTCCCCAGCTGGAGGCTGGCAAGTTCCTGGGGTGAGGTAGGGACCCCAATGTGTCCTTCAGGAGTGGGAAACATGGTGTAGTGTTTTCTGGGGATATTGTCATGGGTTTGGTTTTTTTTTTTTTTCTTTTTATTGGATCTCTGGGGTTCATGTGACCTTTAATATCCAGTCAGTGGGCTATAAGCACACATTTAAAGTTAAGCATGTGTTAACCGCTACCCTGAGGTGTAGTTGGAATCCACTTGTGAGCTCCTGTTCCCACCACCCTGGAGAAAACAACTCTCTTTTATTTGGTGATGAAGGCAACTCAGGGAGTTGCACTGATGTGCAGCACCTTTTTGAACCTCAGGTCTAAAGTGGCACCAGTGCTACTGCATAATGTGTCCTTCCCCAGGCTTCTGGAAAACAGAAAAGTTATGTCAAACCAACCCCACAAACACATCCAGCACCTTCTTTTTCTGACCTGGAATGTCGGGACATGACCCTGCTGGGCCATCTCTGACACTCTGCATGGGAGACAAGGTGCTACCTTTACATTCCAGGATAAGGACTTTTTTTTTTTTTTTTTAAGCAACTTCAGTGACATTCGTAGACTGGCTCTGTTAAGTTGGTTCACTGCACAGTTGGTCCAGTGGGGGAAAACAGTAAGCTCTGCTATTGCCTTTAGCATTTTCTCGTTACTGTTTAGCCCATTTAAGTTATCTTATGACCTGGCAAGCAGAAGCAATCACTTAATTTTCAGCCTTGCTCTAATATTCACATAAATCAATATTGAAAGTCTTTCTGAGATTTGGATCAGGTGGTTTTATAATCTGCTTCTTGGCCACTGTTAACTTCCTACAATTTTATTTTTTCTGTTTATCTCAAGTGTTGAAACTCTGACAGGGGCCGATGAGTTGCCCTCCTTCAGTTTGCACCTCCCCTTTGGGGAATGCAGTTAATGTTCTCCTCTTGGATTTGCCTTTCTTGGTACTTGGATAGAGTTGACATGTTCTTGCTACTAGCACTGCCCAGGAAACACCACCAAGAAATCCCAGCATGTTGGAGTAAATACTGTGCCCTAGAATGGGTACGTGTCATTAGCCTGTAGTCCTTCAATACCCAAGGACCTTCCTTCAAATTTACAGCACCAACTTCACAATCTGTAGAATACTCAGTACACTTCAGCCTCCAAGTCAGTTATTTTTGCAATTAAATGAGGCCAAAATTATTGGTCCTTTAATAGCAATGAGAAGAACCATGACCATACCACTTCCCAAAATACTGCTACTCTGAAATTTGCCTACACTGCTACAGCTACTGCTTCACTCCAACTTCCCTTACGAAAAATTCTAGTGTTCTTCTAGCACTTGCTCTAGCCAAATTCACAAACAATATTTTCTTATTCCTTACGTATCAAGCTTTTATACTTAACATGGCTTTTATACCATCTCTAGTCAGGTTCCTGATAAGCAGTGCAGCACCTCGTCTTGTAGGCACTCCCCTCTTCACCCCACTCTACCCCCATTAAAAAACACACCGAATCTACCCCATGGAGAAGAACCATGACCATACCACTTCCCAAAATACTGCTACTCTGAAATTTGCCTACACTGCTATAGCTACTGCTTCACTCCAACTTCCCTTACGAAAAATTCTAGTGTTCTTCTAGCACTTGCTCTAGCCAAATTCACAAACAATATTTTCTTATTCCTTACGTATCAAGCTTTTATACTTAACTTGGCTTTTATACCATCTCTAGTCAGGTTCCTGATAAGCAATGCAGCACCTCGTCTTGTAGGCACTCCCCTCTTCACCCCACTCTATCCCCATTAAAAAACACACCGAATCTACCCCATGGACAGACCGTGAATCTAAACTAAAGAACAGGTTCTAGCTTAAAAGCCGTCATTTAAACAGCTATCCAAAGGTAAAATACTTCTAATGGTCTTATTTTTTCAGCATGAGGTGCCTCTGAAAAGTTTACAGTTCATGAACAATCCCTTTACTCACATTTTGCCCACAGTTTAACTGCATGGATTGTGAGCTGGAAGTTCTCCTCATTTGGCTCTAGATGCAGTGTTTCATCAGTAGCTCTGTAGCCTCTAAGAAAAAAATTGATAGCAACAGGTACAGGTGAGTTTTATGCTATCCTGGATCAATAGCTCACAGTTCATCGTTCAAAACTCTGAAAACAAGTTTGGATTACTTGCTTTGTACTGCCTTAAAAATTACAGATTACACGCAACATTCAGTATCACTCCAGGTAACTGGTGCCCTCAGCAGCTTTTTCATAGTTTGCAGACTACAATTTTTAATAAAGCCTTTCTAGAGGATTCTGAAAGCTAAGTTTCTTTCAACAGCTGGGTACAATTAAACCAGTCAGTGTTAAACAGTGAGCAAGTTAGGCTTCAGGTAATTTAAATACCTTTTTTTTTTTTTTTTTTTTTTTTTTTTTATGAACTACTACACATTCTTCTCTATCAAATGCTCTACCTATTCATCTGAAGCAGTTTCTATGGCGAACTGGAACAAGGCACACAGCCTGATCAAAGAAACATGAGGTACAGGTCTATATAAACACACAACTCCTTGAAACATAAATTTAAGACCACTTGCCACCTCCTCAGATCTCAAGTATACAGGAGATCAGTTTCAGCAACTTGCACAGAAACGGATGGGTTGTTCAATGTACATTCTATACCAAGTTCAGTAACACTTTCTTTTTAAAGATGTGCAAATATGCTTACCATTCAAGCTCCACATAAAACTCATATCCAGGCTTTTCAGACGTGAGTTATCTCTGAGATTAAGATTATCAGAAACAGTTTGCACAGATGGTCCGGCAAACATAAGATCCATTTTAAGAGGGAAAAAAGTGCCAATTGTGAGTTAGAATTCTGCACCGTTTGCAAACAGCACATCAGTGGGGGAAAAGCTAGTCAAGTCTACAAAGAGTGGTTAACATTTGTATTTAGAACTATGTGACTACAGATACATGTTCTGAGAGATTTACTTCCCAGAAAACTCAAGAGAATTGCTAGAAATTCCATATTTTATTTACAAAACCATCACTGTATCCCCCCTTTTTAAGCTAGGGAAAGGAAGGGATTTTTAAGTTGAAAAGATTACTCTAAATGTCTAATTTCCATTAAACAGGAACATAAATCATAGAATTAAGATGCAAGTTCAGTCACCTCAACTACTCTTCAGCAAAGGAGAGAGCATTTTCTTTCTGCAGTAAGCCCTTTTGATCCTGAGGCATCTGGTCTATAGTATAGTCTGAGGCAAGAAAATTATTCTGTGAATGTCTGTACCAGAGAGAGGCCACAAGAAGGTCACTGAAGGTCTTCACAGTAGTGATGCCAAGCAATAACTTGCTTAAGTACTACAGCATGCAGGTCTTCACTCACAGTGTAAGGTGCATCCAAGATACAAGGATTCCTGCAGCTGACAAACCTGGGCAGGTGTCAAATGGGGACTTTCACTTTTCATCTTCCAGATTGTTTGTCTCACGACCACTTCATTTTTGATTTGCAACAAAACATTTTGCCGGGCTGGGCGAGCCGAGGACCCAGCCAAGGAGGAAGAACGTAGCCAACTCAGTATGAGTGATAAAGTGTGCTTCAGTTTATTGATTTTCATTACAGCCTTTTATAATCTTTCTATTAATTATGCCTACTAGTCACTAGCTGATTGGCTTAAGCTCTAAGGGTCGTATTCTCACGGTCCACCTACTTGCAGTTAGCTTACAGCACAAGCTTCTCATAACACTAAGTTTCTCATGCTACTATTTCTAATTCCTCTTGACTTGTTTTCGATACACAACAGTACCGTAACACAATGTTTCTCAGACCACCGTTATCATAACACTGGGTTTCTCAGACCACTATTCCTAATTCCCCTTAGCCTGTTTTCGACACACCACGGTACACAGGGCTGAAGCGTCCTTGACATTCCTCAGGTATCAGCAGCTGCGAGCAGCTGCAGGCAAACCCTAGTGAGGCTCAGCATCAGCAGCTAGAGCAGGCTCTGATCATACAATTGCTCGGTGGGCTCAGGACCCTTGTCTCTGAGCCATTCTCCAACAATTCCCCCTTTTTCTTTTTGTATGAGCAGAGCCTGCGCCAACGTTCATTCAAAGATTTTCTTAATACATGACAAGGCACAACTTAAGCATGCAAGCTCACAATCTACTGGCTAAAGGCACTTATCACGCACCCGGAAGTGCTGTGATAGGTCTGCATCGTTAGTACGCGTGAACAAACTAAATCTACTGTGCAGTTAGTGTATCCAGGCATTCGAACAGGGCGTGAACAAACTAAATCTACTTTGTGGTTAGTGCATCCAGGCATTCAAAACAGGAAGGAAGCACTAGATTGACTTCCTCCTTGTTTCCCAACCATCACGGGATAGGGAATGTTCATCTTAAGACCTTAGTCAGTACTTTTCTACTTACTCTTGTTCTCTTTTTCTAATTAAGGTCTACTCATGCTAACTTAAAAGAGACTTTCGTTGCAAAGAGGATCTCTAGATCCATGTCCCTTCTCCTTTAACCATTCCCCAACAATTCCCCCTTTTTCTTTTTGTGCTAATAAAACATGTTTACCAATGCTATTGTCAATTATCTTCAAGCAGAGTCGTTGAATGCAGGAAAAAAAGCAGAGTACAATGCCAAGCAATATTATTATAAAAAGAAATCCTACCAAAAGCGGTTTAATAAATCCTAAGAGCCAAGATGGGAATCCTAAGGACTTCCACCATTCTGCAAAAGGATCATTATCTACTTTTAATTTGTTAAGGTTGTCTCGCAAGTGCTCAAGCTGTTTGTGTATACTATTGCTGTGATCAGAAAGGTTAAAGCAACACATACCATCAAATTCATCACACCCATGTCCTTGTGCTAAAAGCAGGAAATCAATCGCAGCACGATTTTGTAGAACAGCATGGCGAATACTATCAATATCGGTTGTTAATTCTGACAGAATGGTTGAGGTCAAATTAGACTGCTTAGCTGTCCAACATGCCAATTTCTTTAGATTGGCTGCATTCCATGCGGCCATGACTCCGGGTGTAAGGAATGATGCGAAAAAAGCCTCTGTTCTAGAGGGAAGCCGGACATTATCATCACATTTCTCATTTAAAATACTTCTTTTTTGCCTTGTTCGGTTGAACTTTCCAATCATCTGCGCTTTACTTGGTGCAAAGATGGTTAATTGACCTATATAACATGGCCCTCCCACTGGTCTCCAGGGGATTCCTGGCCAGGCGCGATCCCCGCAAATCAAAAAGAAACCTGGCGGCAGGCTTTTTTCCCCTGTGACATTTACCGGCCATACCCCTCCACCTGTTGCAGTCAGATTCCACCAGTTCATTTTTGCTGTAACATTCATGAACTGCTGCCATAGAGGTGCTTTGTTTGATATGTTAAAGTAATGTCCAGCATCCCCAAAAGAGACTGCACCTGTCCCCTTCTCTGCTTCATATGCGGGACGCATGCTAGAACAGTTGGTTATATGAGTAACGTTTGCAATGCTAGCTGGTCCCATAGAAACCATTAGATCTAACTCTTGAATCGGAGCAATAGCGGAAGCATTCAGAGCAATGATTAAACATTGAAGCCGGCAAGATTCAAATGCAAATGGCAAGTTAGTTATACATTCCCCACTACTTCTCTTTTCTCCAAAAACATCAGAACAGTTACATTTTCTCCACCGAGTAACATTATAATACCCATCAAGCTTATCTACAGTTTCATTTACAGACAACGGTATCCCGACAAGGCAAGTTTTGAATGGATCCACAGCGGATGCAAGGCTCAAACAGAAATCGGTGTGGCCGGTTTGATTTGCCCAGGTGAGCCATATGTTGGTGTTTTTCATCAATAGGTGAGGATTAGCACAGCAGGTCGTCACGAGTCCGTAAAGAAGCAGAATCACTCCCCAAGGGCTGCGCGTGTCCATTTCGCTGGTATCCATTTTGGTCCTGCAGGGGTAAGTACACACATATACCCTTTACCGATGTACTGTACCTGTGCGGGCCCCAACCATTGCCCTGATTCTGGATCTCGATACATGACCCTCATTTGTATTGGCTTCTTTGCTCCTATACCTGCATGTATTCTTGCGGGAGGTTCCTCAGTGGACCCAAAAAGACATAGGTAATTTAATACAAACAGTGTTTTTGCTACCCTCTCCACTGCATCCGTAATGTCCTCAAACTTCTTGAGATAGTCTTTTACAGTCTGATTCATTCTTTCTACTACTGCTTGTCCTGTTGGGGAATGCGGGATACCGGTAACATGTTGGATTCCCCACAATTGGCAGAATTTCCGCATCTTTTCACTGCGGTAGGCTGGCCCATTGTCAGTTTTGATTTGTTGCGGCACCCCCATTACAGCAAAACAGCTTGTCAAATGATGGGTTACATGGCCTGTCCTTTCCTCCGTTTGTGGAGTGGCCTAAACAAAATGACTATGGGTATCTATTGTAACATGCAGATATTTCAACCTACCCAGGGCAGGAACATATGTAACATCCATCTGCCATATTTCATTTGAACTTAAACCTCTGGGATTTACCCCGGCACCCAGTCCTGGCCCATGATGGCTGCATTGAGGGCATGCTCTCACTATACCTTTCGCTTCCTCTGCAGTCAGGTTAAATTGCGTTCTCAGCCCTCGAGCATTTTGATGAAAATTACTATGAGACTCCCTTGCCTTTACAAAGTCACTGACTGGGGCCGACATCATTACCAATGCATCCGCTTTTTGGTTTCCTTCTCCCAAACCAGAATTCCACATATGGCTTCTGATGTGAATGATTGCATAAGGGTGTTGCCTCATCTGCAATAAGGACCTTAGCTGTCTAAATAGCTGTCCTAGCCTAAGATTCTTGGTATCTTTAATCTGGGCATCTTCTATGTGTTGGACTACTCCTGCCACATACAGGGAATCAGTCACTACATTAATCCGTTCCTCGTTCCAAGTACCGAAAGCCCATACGACCGCAGATAATTCCAGCGTTTGTAACGAGTCACCTGGAACTGCCTCTAACAAATGGTGGTGCCATTCGTCATTGGCAGTCCATGTGATTGCAGCTCGCCTTGATTTCTTGCCTGCGTCAGTAAAAACTGTTTGGGCTTCTTTTAAGGGTACTTCACTGTACAGAGGCCTCCGGATCCATTCATTGTGACTTATCCACTGTATTATTGGTGCTTTGAGCGGCAGTACAGAGAGATTGACATCCGTAGAAAGCAAACATTCACATAGTTCTTGGCTATTCATAAGGTACCAGTCTATTGTGTTTTTCTGCATAGGGACATATATCTGACTTAGCTCTTGCCCTGTGACCTGCCAAACCCTTTTTCGACCTTTTCGTATTAATTCTGTTAACGTGTCTATTCTGGGTTGTATTGATTTCTTTGGCTGAATTTTGGGAAAGATCCACTCTAGCATTTTGAGGTCCTTATCCTCCCCCTTTTTCTTTTTACATTGAGTCAATGCTCCCAACAAATGTTCCCCTGTAAGAAATATAGAAAGATCAATGGGGAGGTCGGGATCCCGTCGATCACAGTAGCGGGAGATGACCTGGTCCGCTATGATCCGAATCATTTCTTGCTGCTCTGCTGTAGGATAGACGGGCAATGCTGGATCTGTCCCTTGTAGTAATGGTTGCAGCACCTTAAGCTGTTCGTTGGTTATTCGCATCACTGGTCGGAGCCATTGAATGTCCCCCATCAACCTCTGAGCATCATTCAACGTTTTGATTTTCGTTGTTATCTGTGGCTTTTGCGGATGAACTGCAGAATCTGTTATCTTCCATCCCAGGTACGACCAGGGACTGCACTCTTGTACCTTTTCCGGGGCTATAACAAGTCCAGCGCTCTGTAATTGATTGTGCAGCTGTTGAACCTGTTGATTTGTAAAGTCCTGCTCTTGTGCCAAGAGAATGTCATCCATATAGTGATAAATGAACATCTGTTGCCACGCAGTTCGCAAGGGGCGTAGAGCGCTGTCCACAAACAGTTGGCACAACGTTGGACTATTTTTCATTCCTTGCGGTAGCACCACCCATTCAAAGCTTTGTGCTGGTGCCTCTTTGTTTATGGCAGGCAGAGTGAAAGCAAATCTCTGTGTATCTTGATGATGTAGTTTTATAGTGAAAAAGCAGTCCTTTAAGTCAATTATTAGAAGTTTCCAATGTTCAGGTAGCATTGATGGGTTGGGTAGGCCCGGCTTCAATGCTCCCATTGGTTGCATTTGTGCATTCACGGCCCTTAAGTCATGCAATAGTCTATGTTTACCAGACTTCTTTTTTATTACAAAAACAGGAGTATTCCACGGACTCGTGGACAATTTCAAGTGTCCTTGGTCGAGCTGTTCCTGTACTAACTGATGGGCAACTGTAAGGCTCTCCAATTTCAACGGCCACTGCTCGATCCACACCGGATCATTAGATGTCCATTGAAGTGGAATCGGGAAAGCCCATCCTGCAGTGACCTTTCCTAAAAAGGTTTGTGTGTTGTAAGTACAACCCCAAGCTGATCCAACACATCACGACCAATGAGACCATTCACTCCTGAAGGCAGATGCATAATGGTAACATGGATAGATGCCCTCTTTCCATCTATGGTCATCCAAATACGATCGATACTGCACTGCACTGCAGAATGACCTCCCACTCCCTCAACTCCTTTGTCCATAGGTTCGACCGGCCAAGCAGTAGGCCATACTCCTTCATCCACAATTGTCAGATCGGCTCCTGTATCTAATAACATGATCAACATTAGAAAATGTCCTCTTGCTTCAAGCTGTACAGTTGCTATTGGCCTGCGATTCATTGACATTGTCAGCATTACAGCTGGTCCTGTGGAACCAAAACCTCGGTCGTCTCTGGCCCTAGACGTAGTCAGAGTTATACCACAGGTCAGTTGGTTCAATGGTACCAGCTGAGCAATCTTACTTCCTTCCGGTATATGTAAAGGTGGAAACGATGTTTGCAGGATAAGTTGAACAATTCCTGTGAAATCAGCATCGATAAGTCCTGGTATAATGTTCAGTCCCTTTATACTGCTGGAGGATCTTCCTATTAGTAATGCTCCATGTGGTTGTCCATTTATAATCAGTGGTCCCCTTATCCTGGTAGGGACCTTCTGTGGCTTTTGGTCGAACAAGGTAATACTTATTGCTGTTGCCACATCCAATCCGAGGCTGCCGGCAGTTGCTGGCTGGAGGGCGTTGTCACCTGAGTCGGGTGTTCCGCGACGGCTGGAGCTGCTACTTTTGTCAGAGCGCGGCGGCTGGACGCGCTCACTCTCCCGTTTCCCGATTTGTAGCAAACCTCAGTGTTATGGTTGCTGGACTTGCAGGTCTCACACCAGACTCGTGTCACAATACAGTTGCGGCGTAAGTGCCCCTCTCGGCCACATCGGTAACACTTGCCACTCCTCCTGCCGTCACCGGTCCTAGCCCGTGCATGAGTCTACAGCGCCAGTTCGAAGAGGCGCCAAAGCAGCAAAAACTTGCCGTTGCGCTTGTTGTTGCACTGCAAAGGCTTGCTGCTGGGCCTGAAGGATATTGCTCCCTAACTTATTCATTGCCTCTACCAACATAGCCTGCGGTCCTACAGGGACTCGACTCATCCTTTCCAGCATTAACTCAATCGTGGCATCTGCGGGCAGTGTCACTAGAATTCCCTGCGTAACACTGTTGGAATTCTGGATTGCACATTGTCTTAACAAGGCGGGCCTCATCCAAGACTGTACATCTGACTGTTCTATGGCCGCCGTAATGCGATCTATAAAACTTGCAAACGGCTCCTCCCTTCCTTGTTTTATACTCATATAAGAAGGAGATGGCTGTGACGTTTTTACATGCTCTATGGCTTCCCTAGCAGTTCGCATAGCCTCTATGCATCGTTCGGGGCCCAATTGCAGCTGTGCTTGTACTTCCACAAAAGGGCCAGATCCCATTAATTGCTCTACCGTGACTCCCTGCAAGGGGTCATTTGGATTCCTTGGCTGCTGAGCTGATGCTTCACAAAACCGTTGCCAATGCGCCTGCCACAACAATAGCTGCGACTGAGTCATAATCATTCGCATAATGATCTTAATATCCTCAGGGCATAGAACTGTACTACCCCAGATGTAATTTAAAAACTGCTTTGCGGGTTCCCCATGCAATCCCGATTCCGATACTGTCTGTCTTAACTGCGACAGCAATTTCCAACTGATAGGATTATACTGCCCCTGCAAATCGCCATGTTCATCTCTGTTAAACATGACCGGAAACGCAAAAGGGGAAAAGTCCCCCGCATCCGCGGCATCTTTCATAACCTTTTTCCAATTCACCATCGTAACCCGCCTACCACCACCACTCTTACTATGCTCCTTTCCGACACCCTCCGACATCGTCTGCTCCTTCATTCTTTCCGCTTCTACCTGTTCGCTGGTCCCCTGTGCCCCTTTCGCGATATTCTCAGTAACATGTACGGACTGCCAACACGGAGGCACCGGCACTCTGCTCGTACTAAATAATAAATCACTCTCCGGTTTCGGCACAGCAGGTCCGCTTGAAAAACTAGACACTCCCGCGTCTGATGGCGGGGCAGATGGCTCAGAATGTCCTAATTTTTGAGACACCACAGCAGCCAAGTTTTTCTCAACCCTATGGCGCTTAATATTATTGATTACCTCCCGCCACGGTTTCATTAATTTCTTAGCAAGTTTGTCATCATCTATCACCATATCCCACAGTATATCTCTGTACCTCCTCCACTCCTCTTCATCAAACAACAGATCAGAGTCTTTAAAGCACCCCTTTGCTTTCCCTGTTGCCACTAGACCAGATAGCTGTTTAATGCAACTATTATCTGTCCCACGCTTTTCTAAAAAGCTCTGTAATAAATCTAGGGCTACTTCAAAATCCATGTACCTTAATACCTGTTATAATATCCTTGCAGCCCTCAGCTTGTAGCCCTTGCAGTGGTGAACTTCAATCGGTTCAGGCTGGAGACGACACACCACAGGACGCGATGTTCTGGTTGCTCTTTTTGCCCGCCGGTCACTGCCCCCGGCGCACTGCTCCTTGTCCTTCAGCCAGGTCCTTCAACGAGGGTTCCTTTCGTCTCGAGGATCCCTTTATTGTTGCCTCAGCGAGGGTCCCTTTTTCTCGAGAGACCCTTTATTCCCGGTTGACCCTTTTTCTCGAGGGTCCCTGTTCAGGCGCCAATTGCCGGGCTGGGCGAGCCGAGGACCCAGCCAAGGAGGAAGAACGTAGCCGACTCAGTATGAGTGATAAAGTGTGCTTCAGTTTATTGATTTTCATTACAGCCTTTTATAATCTTTCTACTAATTATGCCTACTAGTCACTAGCTGATTGGCTTAAGCTCTAAGGGTCGTATTCTCACGGTCCACCTACTTGCAGTTAGCTTACAGCACAAGCTTCTCATAACACTAAGTTTCTCATGCTACTATTTCTAATTCCTCTTGACTTGTTTTCGATACACAACAGTACCGTAACACAATGTTTCTCAGACCACCGTTATCATAACACTGGGTTTCTCAGACCACTATTCCTAATTCCCCTTAGCCTGTTTTCGACACACCACGGTACACAGGGCTGAAGCGTCCTTGACATTCCTCAGGTATCAGCAGCTGCGAGCAGCTGCAGGCAAACCCTAGTGAGGCCCAGCATCAGCAGCTAGAGCAGGCTCTGATCATACAATTGCTCGGTGGGCTCAGGACCCTGAGCCATTCTCCAACAACATTTAGTCTGCTCACATGATTCATATGGTGAACTACACTATACCCATCCCTCTGCAGAAAGCTGGTTTGTCAGAGCTCAGAAGGGTTGGCAAGGACACTGCCTCTACTCCCAGGCTGCAAAACCTTTGTGACATAACTGCTGTTCCAGTGGGCTACCTTGGCCTGCAGCACAGGCTTAGAAAGAGGTGTCCCTGATGTTCCCATGCCCACCAGGCTTCCTAGGGGCTTATTTTCCTATCGGCTCCCATTTTATTGCAGTGTCTTCTCCTGGGATAGGTTGTGGTCAGGCTGTTTAATTACAGTTTCCTAAATACACTGTAAGGTACCAATAACCTTGTAAAATAGCAAAGTCACAAGTCCCTGGAAAAGTTATCCAACTCTAAAGCAAGAAAAAAACTTTTGACTTAACAAAAGCAAAATTCTTACCTCAATACCATCAAACTCAAACTTGACAACTGTTACACACGTATCCTCAACTGCCTGTAAAGGAGAGGATCACTGTGTAAGAAAATAGTTCCTGCTACTTTAATCTTTTTCCTAAACTATGATAAAATATGGAATTTACACTGCTAAACTATTCAGGATAAAGACTGAGTTGCTTCCGAACCAAAAAAATCGGTAGTAAGCTGCAAGCACTATAGCACTAATACTGGCTTTAAAAAGTTATTTAGACAAGAGATTCAGAGGCTGATCATATATTGTAAGGAACAAACAGCGCACAGTGAGCCACGAGGATCAGTGGCTGTAAGGTACTTACCCTGGCAGAGAGGAAGAAAAGTAAGAGATTTCTGTAGCTATCTTACTGCTGGTTAACATCCAGAGAAATCTAAAAAATTCTGTCCACATTTCACAGCGTGCACTAGTCTTCTCTATTTTTATTTTCTACTGTGCCCGAGATGCTGTCAGCTACCTTATTGCACAGTTTTCAGTTTTGTAGACCACTTTTTAGAACTGTGCCACAGCCCTCTGAGAGACTGTTTTCAGGTGACAGTCATCTAAACAAAGGCTCAGTAGCTGTGCGCATTAAGTTTTTCAAAATGTCTGCATGAGGAAGACCAGGCTGACAAATACTTCCCAGGAGCTCAGTTTTACCTGAGACGTACGCAATACATGCAGCTGAGGGTGATTTTACAAAGCAGTTCTGTATGTTCCCAGCACAGCCCCTGTGAACTTTCTGGACAGCTAACAGTGTGCATCCCGTCCGCAAAGGCTCAGGCTGAGGATCCAGAGAGGAACATGGCCAGAGGAGGATGAACGAGAGCTCCTAAAGTCTATCCAGAGGAACACTACGTCAAAGGGACTGACAGGAGTGTTTCCACATCACCGCCAACTTCCTGAGTTTTCAGGCTGCCCCCTCCTCCCCCGGCGTGCATGTCCAGGCCCCTTACTGCACCTGAGATGAAAGCAGGGCTCCCAGGGACAGCCTTGCTTTTTGATACAGCTGACTCATTCTCAAACCAAGGGCAGGGAAGAAGTGTACCACAAAGATTCTTACGTGGTGTACTGCCACTGGAGAAAGGAACCAAAAGCTTGACTTCAACATTTCCATGCTGCATAAGGCAGCATTTTAGAAGGCACTCAGAAACAATCTATTTTAAAATTTTGGCTTGTAAGACGTCCACTACCAATATGAGTCTTTAACATGAACATTTTTACTGTAGAAGTTGCATGATTATCAGGGAAAGAGCTTAGTCGCTCTTCAGATTTTTTTTTTTTTTCCTCCTGATGTTTTAGTTTTTCAAAGAACAACTGAAAAAAATCTGATCTTTCTACATGTCTAGGAGCAACACAAACAGAAACTATGTCAGCACTGGCAAAGAGATTCCATTTCTTCTGTTATTGTTGGAAGTCACTTTCAAACATCAGAACTATGACCAGACAATGAAAGTTCTACCTTTAGTGTGTACTCCAAGACTGTAAGAACCAAATATAAGTATTTTGCCACCAACATTTGCTGCTACTGAAGGGGGAAGATTCTGTGGGTAGAAGAAAAAGTGTTTACTTTAGAACAGAAGATACACATTGACCTATGTACAGGTTTTGGTAGCATACAGTTTTTTTAGAAAGACTACAACAGCCTCCATAAAAAGTGTCTTCTCACTCCCATACCGAGTTGTTAGTCTAATAGATTGTTACTATTTTTCTTAAATGATTGCTTGCAACTCAAAAAAAAAAAAAAAAAAACAAACCACCAAACAAACAAAATAGATAATGTAGCAGTCCTTTCATTAATTTACACATATTAAGGACAATTGTTAGTCTTCCCTGCAGCAGATGCACATAAAGGAACACAATCTCTGCAAAAGGCAAGTCTAGTGTCATAATTTCAAACCACACTGGGTGCTGCAGGGTGTTTGGGGTGAGATTAGTGCCCATTTCCCATCTAGCTCACCCCACAATACGTTGTTTCAGCTTTGTTAGCTGCTACAAATCAACCCACAGAGCCACTTCACACATTTATTCAGTGCCCCAAAGACTTAAAGATCGTGAACTGTAGTATCTTTTATACCTCATCTCAGTGTCAGTTGCTACAGCTCTACTCAATACTTAAGGAGAAAGTTAAAAGTTGAACTTTAGCATAAATCCTAGTAGTGTGGCCTTTAAAAGAAATAAAAAGGTACCAGCTGTTTTGATAAGAAGATAAAAAACCCTCACCTTGCTCTCACTAAATTCTGAAATCCATTCTTTGACCAAGTAATTTAGTTTACCAAGAACCACCAGCTTGTAAAGGAAACTCATGTTAAGTTTTCCCTGAAAAATCCAAGAGGTTAATATATTTTACAGTCTTGTTACACTGGTGATTCAGTTCTTCCTCCTCTTCAAATATCCAAAATGGCTTCCTTGGTTCAACTAGCTTCTGATTATGGATGCAATCTATATCCTTAGTGGTCGCAATCGCGAAAGAACTAATCTACACACAGCAGATAAGCAGGCACTTCTTTATTCCAGCGCTGGGGAACACGGGGGATAACTCCGCCAAAGACGTGTTCAGCGACAGGTACAAAGCACAACATATTTATACACTTTTTCAGCAGAGTCGTAGTTACATAAGATCAATAAATTCATAACGTTTAAGTTGACCTTAATAATGATTGGCTTTTAGGTACCTCACCTTCCCTATATTCCTATTCTACAGAAATCATTGGTCTTCCTCACTAATTGATTTAAATAGAATGGGGGGAGGGCAAGGATTAGCATATTGATGTTATTTCTTGGAAATTATTATCATATGCAAATGTCTCTAATGCATGCGTGGTTATACTGGATGGGGGTCTCTGGTGGTCGTTGATAGTCTTCAACACTGTGTCGGCTGATTGAACTCCATCCTTGCGCATGCTCACTCCATCTTTGGTTAATGCTCACCTCTCCCTTGGCCGATCTTTCCAACCAAACCAGTTTTCCTCAGGTGCCTATTGTTTCAAGTCAAGATCCATAACCAGTACCCATTGCGTTAATTCAGAGTCCATGACAATTCTTATAATGTTCAAGGCACACAGCATACTAGTTGCTTAATCCTAAGGGCCTTCGTGTACTTTATATTCTCATAGCTACTGTAGCTTCATGTTAAATCAAAATCGTACTTTTAAACTAAAATCAAAATAATATTCTAGGATTCAAATTGTTTTATTAAGTGACTGCAACATTAGAAGCCAAGATAATGGGAGAAGTAATTCCATAGTCCCTTTGAGGCTGGTTCTGCAGCATAGAAATACTGTGGGAGAAAATAAAATACTGAAGACTTCACAAAAGAAAAAAAAAAAAAAAAAAAAAAAACAACCAAAAAAAAACCTCACTGGAAAACACCCTTCAGCTTACAGGTTTCCAAATCCACTTCTACTCTTTTACCTAGCATTAATATAAAAGAGAAAAAAAAAAAAAATCCTGCTTATGATTTTTAGATAACTTGACCTAACTTAGAAATCCAACTACTTTTTAAAAAAACATTTGTGGATATAAGAAAAGAATCAAGTTGCTACCATCTTAATACAACTTATTTGCATTGCTCTAGACAGTCAGAGCTGATCACTGGTGTGGGAAATAATAGAAGAATTTTGCTTTCTCTTAAAATAATTAAGCAATTACTTCTTAGGCTAAAGCTATTATTAGTACAATGATCCAAATTTTAAGAAAAGTAAAAGACTTTACTACTGGGAAAAGAAAAGGGGGGAATTGATTAGAGGAAACACCAACCCAACAGCCCCCCCTCCTTGGGATGCTCACCAAATGATCCATATCAAAGGGTGGTAACTCCTTTGCAATGGAATGAGAAAGAACAGAATGGGCCATCTCTGGTATCCCTTGTCCTTGAGATAAAAGAGGAACTGAAACCACTGAGCCATAAAAGACAAAGGAGCTGCAAATTGGCCCAGGCTTGAAGGACAAGGTGTACATGACCACAGGACTGAAGAAAGAAGAAGATAAGATTGTAGAAGAAGCCAGGAGGCGTGCCGAAGGTGTTGAAACCAGCAGCTGTGTGGATAAAAGGGGGTTTGAAACTTAAACAATTTGGTGAGCCTGGATGGAGCTGGGACTCCTAGGCCAACCCAGCACTGCATTTGCTCTCTTACCTTAATAAAGATTCATTAATCCATATTTGGATGTGATTTGCCTTCATCTACCTATAACACCAGGAAATTAAAAGGTTTGAAATCCACTAAGGGTGACACTACATACAGCAGACGTTTTGGACACATTTCTGTTTCATATCAGTTTTGATGTAGGACATTCCCGTTATCTTCCTGCAAGCATTAAACAAGAAAATTGAACACTGGCTTCTTTTAGTTAAGTGTATTTATGCATGTCCTAAATCTGAAGAAAAGACATCACTGCTGCTCGGTTTCTCCTTCCTTGCCTCCGTGGACAGTAGCTAAGCCAAGAAACGCAAAATCTTTTCACCTATGAAAAGAAAAACTCTGCACTGCTCAAACACCATTTAGTTTTCATCAGTTTTCAAATCATTACTTAATTAAAGGCACAAATGGGGAAGTTTGGGACTACTGAATTGCTGAAGTTCATCTCTGCAAGCCCACTGCCATCATCACAGTGACCAAAAGCTGCTCAAACAAAAATCCACTAGCCCAATTTCTGCAACTGGAGTTTGAAGAAAAGCAAAATACCAAGAAACCTGGATGAAGCTGCAGGTCTGCTGGATGGAATTGGTGCCGAAGGAGGAGCCGCCCCATGCACTGGGAAACAGCCCCGACCCCCCCGAGCTGGGATTTTCAGTGCCAACTCCCAGCGCTGCGCAGGCCCCCGCTGCCTCTTGCCCCAAGAACAAGGCCCCAGCCGAGCATCTCGGGGCTGCCCCCCCAGCCGTCCCTCGGGGCGGCCAAATCAGCTCCTCGAGGGGCTTCGGCCAGGACCCCCGGGCTGGGGCCTGGGGCGGGCAGGGAAAGGGGCGGGACCCCCCCTGGCTTGCAGCCCCCCCTGGCTCGGGGCTCCCTCATCCCTTGCCAGTGGCTCCCAGCCCCACTTGCCAGACCCCCAGCACCCATCGCCCCACTCCCCAACCCCAGGGCCACCTGAAGCCCCCCTCCTGCCCCACTCCTCGGCCCCCCGAAGGGCTCCGAGCCTTTCCCCAACCCCACTCCCCGGCATCCCGGGGACCCACCCCCAGCTCCCGGGCCCCCTGGGAGGCAGCAGCCCCCAAAGACCCCCTCCCCAGATGCTCACAGCCTCCCCCACACCCACTCCCACTCCCAGGCTTCGCAGCTCCTCCCATCCCCCTCCCGCTGCTCCGCCGCCAGGGGGTGGGCCCTGCCGCATGCCTCGGCTCCTCCCCCTCCGCAGCCAATCAGCGCACGGCTCACCCGGCCGCCTGCGCGGGGCACGCCGGGAGTTGTAGTCCCAGCCCTTGTGTGCGCATGCGCACGGCGCCTTGTGCCCTGGGAGCGACCGTGCAGGCTCCTCATAGGATGGGGGTGCTTGTGCCAGGCCCCGCTGTGCTGCTCTACCCAGCACCGAGTGATTGTTCTGGGCAGCTGCCGCAGGTCTGGCAGAAGAGCAGCTGGTGTCTGATACTGCCAGGGTAACCAGTGCCCATGCAGCTTCTGGGGTCTGCAGGACCCCCCTGCAATGGGAACTGGCATGCAAGGACCCCAGTGCAATGGGGACTGGTGTGCAGGGAGCCCCCGTGCAATGGGTGCAGATGTGCAAGGACCCCTGTGCAACGTGGACAGGAGCTGTGACAGAACAAGTTGCATTCGGTGTGTTTCCCTTGAGACCTGTGAACTAAGATTATTAGAAAATAGGTATTTGTGGAATAGAATCATTAAGATCAATGTAAGATGTTTTAACCATTTAACCATTGTGCTACAGAACAAATCCTGATCTTTTGAGGAATAGTTAGAATAACTGTAGGATGAGGAACTCATAAATAATCTTACTTGAGACTGTTCAGCCTTGTAGTAACAGGTGCAAAGAAACATAAAGTTAAGGAAGCTGCAAATTAGCACCAAAACCAGACCAAACCAGCCTTGGAGGACAGGATGTATGTGACCACAGGACTGAGTTTGAGCAGAAGTAAGATGGACACAGTGAAGAAGACTACGAGCCTTCATCTAAAGACCCCCAACAACCACCTGAAGCCTCCAACAGACATGCGCAAGAGATATTTACATATGCTAATGAGTTCCCAGAAAAGTTATTAATATTATAAAAATATTATTAAAATACAATGAATATGTATGATAAAGGTGGTATAAATGCTTATTGATTTTGTTTTCAGACACACACATTAGGAGGAGCTATCCCCTCTGTGTACAGCGCTGTAATAAAGAATGCCTGCGTTCTACAACTCCCAAATTGAGTCTTGGAAAGTGAATGAATTACCACTTTCCAGTAACAGATTTTGGCAACCATGAAGGGACACTGTCTGGCTGCTGGAACCTCTGAGTCCGTGTAAGGGACTGTGTTGGACTTTGTTTGTCTCAACATTTCTGCTGCACCACTACCACTTCCTGGCTTCAGTGTCCTGTTGCCACGAAGGGAAGGCGACAAATAGTCCCCGACAAAACCACAACATCTGCCCGAAGCTAAAACAACAACATCCCTGGCAGTGACTGCCGAGCTGCACCTGCGCACGAGCTGCATGGAGGAGGTGAGGAAGATGTGCACCCTCGCCCGCAAGACCACCATGAACACCTGGGCATGCGCGCATGGAAGACCACAGGGCGACAATGAGCTCTGTGGAAATGGGCGGACTTTTCTGAGAAACCGTGGGGACTGAGTCAATAAAAGGACTGTGTCAAAGTGGGGCTTGGGGCCTCCGGGGGGAGCGGAGACTTGGGCAGAGCTTGGAGCTTGGAACACCATCACCAGCACCGAGACCAAGCCAGCAGAACATCGCTGGAGTCGTGGTGTCGGTACTTAGTCTTGTGGTATCTCTAGGGCTTTCTAGCTTAGGGATTCTGACTTTCTCTTCCTTTTTCTCCCTGTCCTATCGCTAGTATCAGTTGCTTGTTTAATAAAGTTCACAAGGTTGTATGGCATCTGACCTCGTTTGTGTCTTAATCTCGCTCTTGGGATCATTTAAGAACCCTCCCTGATTCAGCGGATCCTTGAAGGGACAGACGACGACCTCTGGTAAGGATAAAGCATTCTTTTATTCTTCTATTCTGGGACCGGTCATTCTGAAGCTGCTCCTAAGTCTCAGTTCATAAGAACCTGTGGGGTGCCATACATTTGCACGTATGATATGTGTTGATCATTCGGTCATTACCATGACCTGTTGGTGCATCTGTATGATTCTGTATCTGATTCTGATTTTACGTTACATCCATATATCTGATTTACGTGTATCTGAAAATTTCTGATTCTACCTCGTACTCCTTACCCAGCTGCACTTAGCCTCCTGCTTTGTCAAGAAGAGTTAGAAATCAAGGGGGGATTGGAATCTCTGAACTTTGTCTTGATTTCCTTAAAGTAGACTTTTGCTACCCATGGTTATAATTGCTATTGCTATTTTTTTTTTTTTTTTGTATTTGACTTAGTAATTGTTAGATTTGTGTAGTGTTCGTTCCCTATCCCCTGTCTATGTGTCGTGTGAATGCTAAGTCTAAATTACGAGTAAACAGAGCGTAATTCTGAAGAGTCCTTTGGGCTGAATTTTAGCCCACCGGGAAGATATTGGGGAACCACCTGGCGGAATTTTGGACTGTAAGAAGTTAATTAAATGTTGCAGTCAGTGGTGGCCTCTATATAAGCTGAGGATGGAGAGAAGTGGTCCCTAATGGAACTTTAAAATATGATACCTGGTTGCAACTCCTGTTATTTCTGCACCGAAAAGGAAAGTGGGATAAGGTGCTTTACGCAGATATGTTTTTCACTCAGCACCCTAAATGGCAGAAGGAATATGGAATTAATTTAGCACTCCAGGACCCTATAATTCTGTTAGAAAAAGAGAATAATAAGTGAGATTGAAAATTAAAAAGATGTTGTTTGTCATGTGGAATTGGGCAGAGGAGTTTAAAGATCAGTTTGCGAAATGAGAGATTAGAGGATTATTGGCCTCAACCACCTCCACCGGAAGAAGGCACTGCTATTGAAGAATCAGAGGTGAGAAAAAGGGAAGAAGCACGTACTGAATTCTCTCCCATTACCACTAGAACTCAAAGTATGATGGGACCTGTTATACAGGCTCCACTAAGATAGGCAACGGGAGTGAGGGGACCAGCTAGGATTACAGTGCCCTTCACCTTTGCAGATCTCCAAACTGATCTTTCACAGACAATAGCAGGTTCAGTATTGTGACTGCATTTTTTCAGAAGCTGATTTATTATCAGTTTTCAACAGAAAGGGTACCAGGGTGCTTAGAATGAAAGAAATCAAGAGCACCAAAAGGAAACACAATGAAATTTCTACAGACGCTTCACCAACCCCCTCCATTCTCATGTGCAGCATTTGAGCAGTGTTATCTCTTTGAGGAGATACTGTCCTGCCTTTGAGAACTAATCCTGAACACACGCTAGCTTAACAACAAGGGTAGAATGTCCACCACTCTCACCCTTTGTTTTCCCTGTCCTATAGACAGCTAGGAGTCAGTGTCAACACAGAGAAAACTTTGCAAAGATCCTCATACGACTGTGAAAACACACTTGTCCTTTTTTCCACTGCAACCAGGAATAAAGTCCAGTTACTTCAGTATTTTCATTTATCATCTCATCTTAGTGAAACCAAACAGAAACACCTGAATTACAGTTCAGTCCCATCCAAAAGTACACATCAGGTAGGTGTCACTATACTACTGAGTAAAATTCAGCTTAAGAGGTTTCAGCCGTGTGCTAAAAACTCCTATTAGAATTAGTTTGGATAAAAAAAAATTCAGTCATGCCTACCAACCGAATATTTGTCTATATAGGAGTAATGTTTTTTTGGCTGGGTAGGGGAGAGGCTAAAGACTGGGAAAAAAATCCTGAAAACGTTCATGCTTTCAATGTCTGAAATAATGTTCAGTTCAGAATAGAACTAAGTTTGCTTAAGCACTTTCAACCTTTAAGACTAAACATTTGATTCAACACAAAACAATATATCTATTCCTAATGGTACTCTAATGGAAAAATGCCTCAGCTTGGCATACGACTGATTTTTTTTTAACAGTCTAGCCATCAGTGTCTACTACACCTACAATTCTACTTCACACTTAGCAAAACCTAAGCACAGTGGAATCAGGCAGAGCCCCACACCACAGGCGTATGCTGAGCATAAGTGTTCCAACAGCAGCAGTTTATTTCTCCCAGCCGTGTAACTTTAACAGCCTTTCCGTGGGGATGCTGGCAATCACTGACTGCCACTCACCCCTCAGTTGGCTCACAACATTTGCAAATGCATTTCAGTTTTAGCAGATAATAAAACCTAAATTCACTATCATTTCCCATCCTCTTTTAGTGCTCTCCTCAAAAACTAACCCCCTAATGCAGAAATTATTAGCATAATAAAACTGCCTTTCTGTGAGAACACAGCTACATTCGATTTGAAGCATGTGGACTCCTGCACCCAATGAATTTCCAAAATCCAGCAGGAAAGATTTCTGATTGGTTTCTCTGCAAAATGCAGACATTAAAAGTAAATTCTGGGTGTGGATTCATCACCTTTCCAGCCCTCTCCCCACCGCACACACTTCCAGCAGCTTATTTGCTGTTTTTCATGCAGATCTGGCAGCATCTCCTGGGGGGGGGGAACACGGGGGCACCTCTCCCGTTTTGGAGGGGAGAACACGGGGGCACCTCTCCCATTTGGGGGGGGTGAGGGAGACGACGACGACACGAGGGCACCTCTCCCGTTGGGCGCCTCGCCCCCCCGCCCCGCCGGGCTCCAGCAGCCTCTCTCCCTGCGCCGAGGCTGTGCCCGCCTCCGATCCAGCCCCAGCCCCTCCTCCGCCTCTTCTTCCTCCCTCCCCGCCCGGCCCCGCAGCCCACACTGACCCCTGCCCGGCGGGGGTGCGCGGCGGCGGCGGGGCCGGCAGCGGCACCGGGACCCCGCCAGCGACGGGGGGCGCCGGCAATGCCGGCGGGGCGTCTCCTTCGAGGAGCCGCTGCCGCTTCTGTTGCAGTTACCTTAATAAAACAGTTTGAATCCTCGAATATTATTTTGAATTTAGTTTAAAAAAATGATTTTGATTTAAAATGGAGTTATAGCAGCTGTGACAATATAAGGCATGTTGAGGCCCTTAGGAACAGATAACTAGTATGGTGTTTGCTTTAATCACTATAGGAATCGTTATGGACTCTGAATCAAAACAATGGGTAGTGATTATGGATCTTGAGATAAAATGACTATGTAACCATGACTCTGCTGAAAAAGTGTATAAATACGTGGTGTTTTGTATCTGTCGATGAACACGTCTTTGGCGGAGTTATCCCCCGTGTTCCCCAGCACTGGAATAAAGAAGTGCCTGCTTATCTGCTGTGTGTAGGTAAGTTCTATTCGCGATTGCGACTGCTAACAGTTTTGGCGACCCAGATGGGACCTTGCGAGTGAGACTGGACGGGATCGAGCACTGATCGAACTCCAGCTGGCACCGAGGAATTCTCGGGGAGAGCCATCATTCTCGACCCATAAAGCTCCTCGCAACGTCCCCTGGAAAGGTAAGGCACTTCTTTCTGAATCTGTGGAAAGCCTGCCTGTCAGACGGAGTGAAAGTTCCGCGTGGTTGGGGCTAGGGAATTCCTGAGCAGGGGAAGCCTCGGCGCTGCCCGTAAGGCGAATACGAAAGTTTCGCGGGGTTGGCATCAGTGTCAGTGGTGAAAAGGAATTAAAGGAGCGGGGCCCGCGGGACTCCTTGAGAATAGGACTCTCTTGGGCGCTCCCAGGAACTTTCCTGGAGGGACTCCTTATCTCAATTGAGTCACTGCGAGGAATAAGGTGAGGATTATTAGAAGAGGGTCTGGGCTGTTCATAAATCGTGAGACGGGGGATCTTGCGTGGAACAGCGTATACCGGGGTTGCTAGCACCTCACTGGTATACATCTGGTCAGGAACACTTCGGTGTTCACATCGGTACTTTCTGGTCTTGATACGGGAAAATGTATTTTTCGTATTCTGTAATTTGTTTCTGTGCTTCTGTATCTTGTAACTTTGTAACTCTGGTAACACGGGAAACAATGAAACAATGTTGAAATATTGTTGAGTTTTTATGTGTGAATGAGTGACTGAGATGTGCAATTACGCACGAAGAGAGTGTGGAGCTTTGATCCGTGGTTCTGTTACCCTGCGAGGGGTACAGCCGGAGATAAGCGAAGCAAAAGGAAAAAAAAAAAAAAAAAAAAAAAAAAAAAGGAAAAAAAAAAAAAAACAACAACAAAAATAACAACTAAAGAAGGTATACGGTCGGTTTGCTATGGCATTTAAATTTTCAAACCTGTTTGAAGAAAGGAGAGGGAGTAAGATTTCTATACCAAGAAACACTCCCTTAGGTTGCCTTTTAGCTCACTGGAAAGAGGTGCATGATGAATTAAGCAAAAGTCAACTTACTGAATTTTGTAATCATGAATGGCCATTGTATAAATTAGAAGATGAAGAAATGTGGCCCCTGAATGGGACCTTAAGTTATGATACTATTTTGCAATTAATGTTATTTTGTAAAAGGGAAGAAAAATGGGATGAGGTTCTGTATGTAGATCTGTTCTTTTATCTGCAAGAAAAAAAACGGAGTGGCAAAAAGAATGTGGCCTGATTAATCAAGTGGTGTCTCTTATGATAAAGGATAAAAAGGTTCAGGAACGTTGCCCCGTATGCACTTCCACCAAAATGTGCTTTAAACATTTGGCACTGAAGGGAAGGGGATATACAGAAACAGGTCCTGAATTAGATATTGCTCCTACTGCCCCAATAATTCCTGCAGTTCCCATATACCACCCCCCATTCCACTGCCTTTCCCTGAACGTGGACCTGACTCCAGACCTGGGCATCCGACTGGGCAATCAGCCCAGGGTGCTGATTTAAGAGAAGGGCACACACTACAATTTTGCAATTGTTTTTACAGATCTCAGGAGGTCCTTTAAGGGGGGAATACAAGGGGGAAGAGGAGGATTGACTGACAGAACCCCTCTTGGAATAAATCAGTTTGCCTTTTGTAAGAAGGAGGGGCACTGGAAAAATGATTTTCCAAGGAAATTAAATGGTCAGCAAACAGCAGCTAATGTGATGATTCTAGGAGAGTATGCAGATTGACGTGGACCGGAGGTGAACCCAGCTGAGCCTCTGGTTACAGTTAAGCTGGGAGAGAAGGAGGTTACATTTTTAGTGGACACTGGAGCAACGTTCTCAGTTGTGAACAAACAGAAGGGGTGATAGGATCTAACATGGTAAATATTGTGGGAGCCACGAGGAAGGAAGAAAACCGGCCATTCTTACAACCCTTGAACTTACAATTTGGAAATAAAATCATAACACATGAATTTCTGTACGTTCCAGAATGTCCTATACCCTTAATGGGAAGAGATCTGCTATCCAAATTAAATGCCCAAATAGTTTTTGAAAATGGAGAATTGTTGTTAAAAATACCAGAATCAAAAACAGGGGAAATTCTGATGATACAGGAAAAACCAAAGATACAAGAAATCCCCCCAGAAGTGAGTTATGCAGTAGTCCCCATGGTGTGGGAGACTGATGTCCCTGGAAAATCCAAATTGGCACAACCAGTGAAAATTGAATTAAAGGAAGGAGCAAAACCAGTTAGGATCAAACAATACCCAATTAAACCTTAGGCAAAACAGGGAATTAAAAAGCTGATTGACAAATTCTTGAAATATAAGATTTTAGAAGAATGTGAGTCAGAATATAATACCCTTATTTTACTAGTCTGAAATCCCACAGGTGAGTATAGATTAGTACAGGACTTGAGAGCTATAAATCAAATTGTAAAAGACATTCACCTGGTAGTATCCATATACCTCATTGACAGCCCTTAAAGAAAAATACCGGTGGTTTACAGTGCTTGATTTGAAAGATGCTTTCTTTTGCATACCCCTGGAACAGGAAAGTTGTAAACTGTTTGCTTTTGAGTGGGAAAACCCACAAACAAGGTGTAAAGTACAGTTAACCTGGACATGACTACCCCAAGGATTTAAGAACAGCCCAACAATCTTCGGCAGCCAACTTGCCAAAGAACTAGAGATATGGACAAATAAAAAGACAGTGACTCCACGACGAGAACATCTACTCTTATAATACGTGGATGACATCTTAATAGCTACAGAAGAAAAGACAGCCTGTATACAGGTAACCATTGAACTTTCAAATTTTTTGGGGGGGGACTTAATGGGTATAAGGTGTCTAAGAAGAAAGCCCAAATAGCAAGCCAAACAGTGATATATTTGGGCTTTGAAATTTCAAAAGGGCAAAGAAGATTGGGGACTGATCGAAAGGAAGCAATATGTGCTATTCCGGAACCTCGGACTGTACATGAATTAAGAGCTTTCCTGGGAATGGCCGGGTGGTGTCGTCTCTGGATTATGGATTATGGTCTTTTGGACAAGCCATTATACGAGGCCCAAAAGTCCACCCCTTTCATATGGGGTCAACAACAACAGGAGGCCTTTCAAAAGCTTAAGCAAGCTTTAATGACAGCACCAGCTCTAGGATTACCTGATTTAACTAAATATTTCCAGTTGTTTGTTCATGAAAGGCACCCAGAGGATAGAAGCTGGAAGAGACCTGTGGGGTACTTTTGTAAACAACTGGACACGGTGAGCGAAGGATGGCCTTCCTGCTTGCGGGCAGTACCGGCAACAGTAATATTGATACAAGAAGCCAGAAAGCTCACCTTGGGAAGAACCATCACAGTCTATGTTCCGCATATGGTTGCTACAGTGCTGGAACAAAAAGGGGGGTATTGGCTGTCCCCTAGCAGAATGATGAAATATCAGGTAATCATTACGGAGCAAGATGACATGATTCTGAAAACAACTAATCTTGTAAATCCTGCAGTTTTTCTGAGTGCTTCACAGGAGGAAGAACAACCTGAACATGATTGTATAATGACTACTGAACATACGTACTCTAGTTGAGAAGGTTTGAAGGATGTCCTTCTCGAAGATCCTGAATGGGAGCTGTTTACAGATGGCAGCAGCTTTGTACAGAATGGAACCCGCTACGCAGGATATGCAGTAACAACTGAAAGTACTGTGGTAGAGGCAAATGCACTGCCCAGCACTACATCAGCACAGAAAGCAGAATTAATTGCCTTAACACGAGCATTGTAACACGAGCATTGGAATTAAGTAGGGAAAGAAAGTGAACACCTGGACAGATTCAAAATATGCTTTTGGAGTGGTTCATGTCCATGGAGCATTATGGAAAGAACGAGGACTATTGTCCTCCCAGGGAGCAAATATTAAGCATCAGAAGGAAAATTTACAGTTGCTTTTGGTGGTTCAGGAACCGGCTCAAATAGCAATCATGCACTGTAAAGCACATCAATCTGGAAATACAAAAATAGTAGGAGGAAATAGGTTAGCAGATCAAGCTGCCAAGGAAGCAGCTCAACAGTGAATGTTACAAATGGCAGTAATTCCTACCAGAACTGTAACCCTCCCAAAGGAACCACCAGAATATTCGAAGGAAGATGAGAAGTTAGCTCAATTTTTAAATGCAAAGAAAAGTTTAGAAGAATGGTGGACAACCTCTGAAGGCCAGGTGGTTGTGCCCCCATTAATTATGAGGGAAATACTACAAGTAAAACATCAGGAATGCCATTGGGGTGTAGAAGCCCTGGAGACATTCCTGAAGAGGCACATAGTATCAGTAAGGATGTCAGAGATGGCTAAATCAGTTGCTGCAAAATGCAATGTATGTTTAAAGAATAATCCAGTGGTACAGAAGAGAGTTCAAATGGGCAAATTGAAAGTAGGGGTAGAACCTGGTGATTATTGGCAAATTGATTTTACAGAATTACCCAATTGTAAAGAATATCGGTATGTTTTGGTTGGGGTTGATACCTTTTCTGGATGGCTGGAAGCCCTTCCCTGTCGCACAAATCAAGCTAAAGAAACAGTTAAATGGCATTTACAAGAGATAATTCCAAGATTTGGAGTGCCTATTGGAATATCATCAGATAGAGGTCCACATTTTGTAGCCACTGTGGTGCAGGACATAAGCAAAGCCCTAGGGATATCCTGGGATTTGCATGCTTCCTGGAGACCACAGTCCAGTGGAAAAGTAGAGAAGATGAATCAGACTTTAAAAAGACAAATTAGTAAGATATGTCAAGAAACTAAACTGAAGTGGCCTCAGACACTCCCATTAGCATTGTTGCATATTAGGGTGAAGCCCCGAAGTGGGATGTTAGTCAGCCCCTATGAATTGATGTACGGAAAACCATATGAGACACCTGAACCTAATCCAAATATGCATATAACAGGAAAACAAGATGTATATAATTATATGCTTTCTCTTGGAAAAACTTTAGCTAAACTCTGGAGTGCAATAGTGTGGAATCGACCCCTGGCTCTGGAAAATCCAGTACATGACTTTCAACCTGGAGGCTATGTCTACATAAAGACCTGGACAACGGAACCCTTACAAGAGAAGTGGAAGGTACCCTACCAAGTTCTCCTAACCACATTCACTGCAATTAAGATTTCTGAATCAGATGCTTGGATCCATTACACCAGAGTGAAGAAAGCACCATCTGCGAAGTGGAGAGTGATTGGAAATCCAGAGACTTTAAAATTGACCCTTAAAAGCAGAGTTTAATTGAATTATTATACAAGCAGAAGTAAGACAACGAGATAAGTCATTAAAAGATACACCATCATATTACCATTTGGCATTTAATGAGACAACAATTTGAATATGTGAAAGTATTGAGTATGATTATCAATACTTTCAAAGGGGGGAAATGTTGCAGTTACCTTAATAAAACAGTTTGAATCCTCGAATATTATTTTGATTTTAGTTTAAAAAAATGATTTTGATTTAAAATGGAGTTATAGCAGCTGTGACAATATAAGGTATGTTGAGGCCCT